ATTGATAAAAAAGCTAAATAGATTATCCCTCATCACCAATGATTTTTTTTGAAGTTATTGCAATGGTTGTTTTCTTTTTGGAATGAGACAGAGTAGATAATGAAGAAGATTGAATTGTCTACTAGCAAGCCTTGAGTAAGCTCTAAAAAATTTTGGGCTACCTTTTAAAACCAAATTCAAAGCCCATTTTGCCACTTAATGATGGATAAAAAGATCAATCTAGTTTCCATTTTGGTTTCCAAAAGGATTTACACACCATTAGAAAAAAATTATATATGTAAATGAATATATTTGTTATAGATACAACTAACCATTTTATTTTTTCCTTTTGTATTTAAAATGAGTGGATTAGAACTCGAAATTTGTAACAACTTGCATTCGAGATGTGATGGTGTGACGGCATTGATCAACCTGGACAACAAAGAGAAAAAAGAGAGCATGCAAGAAACATAACTAAGGCAACCAAAAAGCGGGCTTGCAACATCTTTACGTGAGCTCTTCTTCAATAGTGTAAAGATCCGGAACTTAAAAGGAAATAAAGTCATAAATTAAATTCGAAAACGAAACAATAAAGTTTAGGGTTTATATTCTTTATACAATAATTTAAAATACCCAATAGGGTTACGAGAATGACCATTCTAAAAGAACAAACAAAATTAAGGAAATAAATAAAAAGTAATATGCTGAGCATTCTAGGACGACTTACACTAGCTTTTGAAGGAAGTTTGGGTGGTGAACTATTCATAACCCTCTTGTTGATCGGGATTTGAGTCTTGTTCCTCTTTATCTGAAATAGTTAACAAAATGGTAAGATACACTAGTCTAGTAAGGATATCATACTACTTATCAATATAGAAACTGAAGGTTGGTAAAAATCATAAAAATAACCAATAGAGCTCTTGATTTAAGTAATTCATTTATTATAAAGAAAATCCTTTATTGCAAATATTTACCATTTGCGAGATTTTCAAAATTGACCTATAGAGACAATAACCCAAATAACATTCCAATCTTATATTTAAGTGAGCAAGAAAAGTAACTTTCCCTCTTTATTTGCCTTTTAAAGCTGTAAAATCAAACAATCGGTTAAACATGATAAATAATAATAAATAACTAATTTTGACTCAATTAGTAACCTATAATTAATTCTTGAAGTTTTTTAAATTACACAAAATACTGTA